TTTTTTTTTTTTTTTTTTTTTTTTTTGGCGGTACGCGGGCCTCTCACTGCCGTGGCCTCTCCCATTGCAGAGCACAGACTCCGGACGTGCAGGCTCAGCGGCCATGGCTCACGGGCCCAGCCGCTCCACGGCATGTGCGATCTTCCCGGACCAGGGCACGAACCCGCGTCCCCTGCATCGGCAGGCGGACTCTCAACCATTGTGCAACCAGGGAAGCCCCAGGACTTTCTTGATTCTTGTTTTCGAATGGAAACAAAATTTATTTAGGAGGTGAAAAGAGATTATGGGCATTGTCTTTATACAAGGGTTGTATAAAGTTGATTACTTAACTGTACACTATGTGATGCTTACATGCATTTTCCATGATAAAATACTGGCCACAAATTTATATCCATAAATTACTTACCTGCGTCTCTGCTATCATATTTTCATCGGGTTTTAGGTGGACAGTGAAGGCCTCTCTCATCTCTCTTACCCCATCGAATATTACTTCAATTTCAACAATGTGCTGGATTTCTCCCTCCTTAAACTCAATTTCTACAAATGCAAAATCACAGGTTTAAATCTTTTACATAGGAATATGTGAAGTTTTTCTTAAGCTTCTTTGACAGTGATCCACAATGAGAAATATATTTCATATTGTGGCCCAGTATACTTACGTGTATATGTTTGTGTGCACATGTGAGTGTGGATAAAATGGAATAAAAAGTTTTAAAAACATCACCTATTCTTACAATATGCATTGCACTCTAATATTTTCTATTCTATTCCATTTTATCCAGAAGAAAATTCTAATCATAAGCTACTAAATTGATTTTTTGACCCACAGTTTGAAAAAATGCAGTTATGGAATAGACAATCAACAATTTTGATACCGGCACAATCAGACAAACTCACCTCTCATTTCCCAGAATTTCTAAACCAACAGGACATAAGTCAAATATATGATCACAGGCATTATTGAGTGTGAATAGTATTTTCATTATGTATATATCTAGAAAAGCTGGACATAAAATTGTTGCAATTTTTAATATCATGTCAAATTATATTTTTAAAAGACTTCTTTCGGTTGTTGACGTTAATCTTGGAAATTCAGCAATTTTTTTAAAGAAAAATGTTAATGGTGTTTTTTCTCTCACCCTGTCGCTCCTCACTAAAAATAATTCCTTCATTATCATGAAAAATAAACCCAATAATGGTAATCCTTTTTTAACCATTCATTCTGAGATTCTTAAAATGTTAAAAAATTAATTGATTTTATTGAACTCAAGAATAAGCAGCTGACCAAACTTGGATAAACAATTTTGTTGGTTTTACAATGCCTTGTGAAAAACTGGTTCAGAGGAGAAAATAAAGAATATAATGCATAATCATTTCAATCAGACGATAACAGACGCTGCTTTCTCATGTAACGGCGGTATTCAATCATTATAATTCTAAATTAAGAAATCCTTTAAAATGTGGCAGAAGAAAATGTGTCTCCAATGTATTTTTCTTTTCCTACTTCCATCAATTATGAAAAGGATCTTTTTCTTTAAAATTGTGTTTGTAAGCCAGACTCATCTTTAAAATTAGTTCTGTTTCTGGGTACAGCCATTTTCCACACTGGCCTTAGCCAGTTCTTTGATACCATTAGCCTTAGATTTCTCATACCCCAAGAGGGCGTACAGTCCTCGTTCCAGAGGATGAAAATAGCTGATCACTTCTGGGTCACCAATTTGTTTGATTTGACCTGTGTGAAGGTGCAATGAAAATTTATTTTCTAACCCTTCAACATCTGGGGATTTCATAGAAAAATACAGATGTTTTAGATCTTTTGTACTTTTCTGCCTGGCAACAGTCATCTGGCTATGACAGTACAGGTCTTTCTCAGCACGGAATGGACTTTCTGGTTGAAGAACGTTTCCATCACTCCATCTTTCCCTCACACTTTCCTTGCTTCCCTCATTTTCATTGCTTGTCTTGGCCTTGTAAACATTTGAGTTTTGTAACCCTCTGAATTATATAAACCTAGTTTCTGAGAAGTTGAAAACTTAAGTGTTTATTTTAAATGCTTAAATTAATTGTTTTCTTACAGTATACGTGCTAGGTGATAGTTGTTTCCTCAGCCACTTTAGACTTTTTTTTTTAAAATAAATTTATTTATTTTTTTTTTGGCTGTGTTGGGTCTTCGTTGCTGCAGGCGGGCTTTCTCTAGTTGTGGCGAGCGGTGGCTTCTCTTGTTGCAGAGCATGGGCTCTAGGTGCACGGGCTCAGTAGTTGTGGCTCGCAGGCTCTAGAGTGCAGACTCAGTAGTTGTGGCGCACGGGCTTAGTTGCTCGGCAGTGCATGGGATCTTCCTGGACCAGGGTTCGAACCCATGTCCCTTGCATTGGCAGGCGGATTCTTAACTCCTGCACCACCAGGGAAGCCCCTAGACATTTTTAACCCAAAAATATTTGGGTTAAATATTAACCAAAAATATTTCAACGTTTATTCTATATTTAATTTTTTGTTTACCTCAATTTGGACCATAAAAGGAGAAATTAAAATATATTTCAGGAAAGATTATTAAATTTTTTTTATAAACACATGTTGACATTTATAGGATAAAAGAGACACAGGTTGATTTACTGTTGTTTAAGTTTTCTCTGATTTCATTTGTCAATTTACTATATACATGTAATTTTGTTTCTGTCTTAGCAAAAAGAATTGTTTTCTTTATAAGAAAAGCATCTTCTGTTAAAGATCATGTCATCCACATTTAGAAGGTGTTTCCTTCATGTAAAACATGCTCATTTTAGAAACAGTTATTTTAGATTTTATAATTTAGCAGCTGATCAGTTTTTTCCTCTCTTTTTGGGTTTTATGCATATATTTCCAATATATTATCATTCTTTACATAGAAAATAATATGAGGATAACTTTGAAGCTCTATAGTTCATCAAACTTTTACCATATGTGCAAAGAAAATAAGTGTTCCTTTGTAGAAGATGCTAGTTTTTCCAACTGTTTCATTAATTCTATTACTGATTCTGTCACTTCCTAAACTTTGTTCTCAACTGAGCAGACCAAGATGAACGCCTGTCGTCTATGATCATCAAAAACTGTTGGCAGTCTCTATTTTGCCAGTAAACAACCCACAGGGAGAGAGAAGAACTGACTTGTTTTATACTCATAAAAGTAATGGGTGAAATGATCCGAAAGTTTGAAGAAGGAGAGGGATGGATGAAATGTATTCTTTATGAGTTCCTACGGCCCAGAGAATTCATGGGCCCTGTGGTTGGTAATCTGTCCCCCTTTTACTGTCCTCCATTAACACTAAACTTTCTAGCTTGAAGTTTTGGATTGTTGTTCTTCTATGACTATCTTCTTGGTTATCATGCACATTTTCAATGCAATAGGATATTCAGGAAAATTGTTATTTAATATCGGATTGCCATAACACAGGTAAAACCCACTGAAAATTAAAGGACTGTAGGCTCAAAACAGAAGATCATCTAGCACACTAACTCAAAATTTCCCTAACACATGTACCCAGCAGTCAAAAAGGGAAACTCTGGAAATAAATTCCATTGACTTTGTTTTCCTGAAGGAGATTAATTTAAAGGAGTACATGTATTTGTATTTCAGTTGGATGGATATCTCTCTTCCTTTTTCTCAAGGGTACCAGCACTAACACAGTGTGAGCACAACCCATCTGGACACGGGCCCTAGGAGCCCCCATACCTTCCGACACAGGGTGATAGTCCTTTCCAGACGTGGCTGAACCGTCCTTGGTGTGAACCCTCACAACGGAAACCTTTGAAGTGTCTCCTTGGCGAATCACTGGAATTTTTATAACCACCGACTGTCCTGGTTCTTTGGGTTCACTGACGCTAAATTTGGTTTCTCCAAATTTAATAATTGTCTCTAAAACAGTGGGAGACACGGACAAATTAAATTGTAAAGGGAATGCTTTTTTTCTCCACTTCTAATGGTTTTTCTGTTTCCCATGTGGGAGGAGCTTAATTAAATTATTCTCTTGCCTTCCCTCTGTCCCCTCGCTCAGTATCACTGGTGTGTCATGAGAAACTGAGCATGCATGGCCCAGCTCCTTCCTTAGCAATTAACCAGCCCCCAGAAATCACGTGCTGTGGGCTGTGTCTATGCGCCAAAAATTTTACACGAGTGGGCCACTGACTAAGGGAAGGCAAGGAGGAAATTGTTGACCCAGGACGACCTGCACCCAAGGGTATGTGAGGAGTGGGGAGGTCTGAATGCTTGGGATTTAGCATTTAGGTATCAACCATATTCTTCAACATAGTTTTCAGTTTAAATGGTTTATTTCGTTCTCCACTTATCTTAGTCTTTTTCCTATTTCTCAATTACTTTAAAAGCCAAGTCAGAAAGAGGGGGTTATTTTCTGAGCCACCTAAAACTTTAATACAGATGGATTTCAGTTCCTAATTTACAGTTGAACACAAGAAACAGCTTCTTACTATCAGCATCATCTCTGATCCTTATCAGAGTTTCATTTTGTTCACCAACCACAGCTCCAAAAGGGGAGTTGCTTTGTGGAGTGCCAAGAACCAGACGGAGCTCCTCTACCTCTTCGTATAGTACGTCATCCATCAGCTCAAGGATACAAGGCTTTTCAGTCTCACCTGGAACAATAATAACGACAGCAGGACAATCACATCCCGTAGGCCATAAGGGAAGCATCTGCGACCAGGAGGTAAGCCCCATGAGGGCAGGGATGTTGCTTTTTTCCCTGCTGTATCGACAGCGCAAGGAACAGTGTCTGGCATGTAATAAGCCTTTGATTAATATTTGCTGAATGAATGATGAGGTTTGAACATATACAATGACAGGCCCTATTTGTACAGGGAGTTCTTTAATGCCTGTCTTAAGTTCTGTCACTTATGTCTGAAAACAAGGGGAAAAGAGGAAATGCCAATTTTATTTACAAATTTCTAACATTATGATCAGGAGGCAAATTTAGCAACTTTGTACTGGTTGGTCATTGTTAATTTGACCACAGCACATGTATCTTGTACAATTATTGGATCAAAGTGGTCAAATATTTTATGACATTGGATACATATTAAAAATGTGACATCTATTTCCTTTCATTTCTGTCATTTGAACATTAAGTCTTTCCCAGTACTGTGAAATCTACACATTTGATATGACATTATCTGCTGCATAAAGTTTGAATAAACAATATAGCACACCACTAGAAACTAATCAATAAGTTGATACGGAAACCAAAGGAACATTCATTCACCCTGTTAATCTACCTCCCTTTGTTATCATTTAGTGCACATTAAACCATGTCATAAGCTTGCTGAAATCCAGAACCTGTATTTCCTTGATAGATATTTCACACCCAAAACTTGGCTTCTGCAAATTCCAAATAAAAATTTCAAGCCAAAACTTACCAGGGAGGAAGGTGATGGTGGAGAGATCAGTGTTTGGGCGTTCTTCAAAGTCCATCATCACTTGTGCAGACCCCTGGCGCGTATAGCATCTCACGGAAGACCTGTACTGGATATCTCCACTCCTGTGGATCACGGCAACTATCTGCCCATCATTTTCATTGCCAGTATATACTCGCTCTTTGAATTGCATCTTAGGCACTGCAAAAAAATACACGAAAATAAACATATGAATCAAAGTGAATAGAAATGTAAGGAAAACGGCATTTCAGGAAACATGGTTTCGTGGGAAGAATAATGGAACAGAAATGAGAAGAACTGGAACCAACTCTCCACTCAGTCACTTGCCAGTGTTTTGGCCTTGAGCAAATCACTTAACTCAGTATTTTGATTTCCTTATCCTTGTAATTTTGCTCTGCCTATTTTGTGGAGTAGGAAGATGCAATGAAATGTGAGAAAGTAGATAAAACCAGAGATTTTAAGATGTCTGTATCTATATATGTTGCTTTACCATGAGCTTTTCAGAATTTCTTGATATGAATAATATTAAATATTGTGCACATAATCACATGCATAGTTTACCTGGACTGTGTTGGAAAAGTTGACAATGGCTATAATATTATATATATTACATAATAGAAAGTGACACCTATACTAGGTCAATTAACTACAGGCCTCATTGACAATAGGTTAGACTCCTCCAAGCAATGTCAGGATCATCGTGGTAGAAGATTATTCAGAATTTTCTTGTGATGACGTGTCAGAGAGCCCTGCCATGTGTCCAGAAGCTTACTGCTTCAGAACAGTGTCTTTGGCACATCATTAGGGGAATTTCAGGAGTCTGGGAGTAAGGAGATAACAGAAAATGTCTTGTGTTGAGAAATCGAAAAAGACCATTAATACTCAAGGGTTTGTGCAACCCCATGCGGTTCCACCCATCTGTGGGCGGGAGTTCTTGACACACAATCAAGATATTGATAGCAACCTCATTTTTTTAAATTTGGGAGGAAGACTGAAAGTTTTCTTCTGAAGCTGTTTAATTCTATCAAAATAATCAGGATGAGAAAGTAAGACTTGGTCAGCTAAGGTATTATTATGGGTTGAACTGTGTCCCCTAATTCCCAGGTTGAAGTCCTAACACCCAGTACCTTGGAATGTGACCTTATGTGGAGATAGGGTCTTTACAGAACTAATCAAGTAAAAATGAGGTCATTAGGGTGGGCCCTAATTCAATATGACTGGTGTCCTTATATAAAAGGGAAATTTGGACACAGAGACACACACAGAAGCTGATGTAATGACACACAGGGGAAAAGATTGCCATCTACAAGACAAGAGAGAGGGCTGGAACAGATTCTTCTGTTGCATCCCTTAGAAGGAAGTAACCCTGCTGATACCTTGATCTTGGACTCCTAGCCTCCAGAACTGTCAGACAAGAAATTTCTGAGTCTGTAGTACTTTGTTATGGCAGCCCTAGCCAACTAATACGGGTATATAAACCCTAGTTTATCATTTTACTTAACATTTATATAAAGTCTACCTTATCGCTTTACTTATCATCATAAATTAATAAACACTCACAATCTGAGACAGAATCATTTATGGCCACCGTGGCTTTGCTGGGATCACCAAGGGCAGCATTCATAGGCATTCGAAGCACAAGTTCAAATTTCTCAATTCCCTCCAGCACCGGTTGTCCAAGATCATCCAGAATGATAACACGAACAGTCTGCATGTTGACTCCAGGTGCAAAATCTAAATTACGACTGATTCCCACATAGTCTGTTCCAGCTATGACAGTAACAGAAGAATGTTTCAGTTGGGGACTAACTCAATTTAAACAAAATTATGAGACGCAAACTGTGAAGATATATTTATAATCCTTTTTAAAATATATAGACTAGCATACCGTTACAGAAAATACATTTAACGAAATGCAAAAGATTAGTATCTAACCTTTTGGTTATTGAGATGGTAGATCAAGGATCAGGTTCTGAACTTTGTCTTATCTATGTCTAACAAGTTATTTTACCTTTAGTTATTTTAGCTTTCTTATAGTTTTCTTCCATCTATTTTGGAATTCTCAAATAGAACTAGTAAAAATCAGGTCTAAAAATAACCAGCATATCAATCATTTGATTATCATAAATTATATATGAAATATAAATATTGAAATTTTGTTATCATTAGTAAATATCCAAATCTATTTTCAGAAGCTACTACAGAACTTTAGGTGTGTGACTGCCTGCTGGTTAAAACAACACATTTCAGATACAAGCTTTTGTCTGACATGCTTCACCCACACCTGCCCCAGAGACATATTTGGTTTTTGGCTTATTATTTTTCAGACTGTGGGGCGCATACTAGTGTTGACATCTCCATTTATGTTCTAAAGTAGTTAAAAAAACAAAACTTTCTCTTAATCTTTAGGCACTACATCCATAAAGACTGAGAATAGGGGAGAGTGTTCAGTATTATTTCTTCCTTGTTTTCATACCTTCTGCTCTTCTAACTCTCCTTTTGTATCTGTTTACCTCTGAATATGCAACTATATTTGAGTATGTGTCTTTAATTCATTTTTAAAAGTCTCTGTATCTGAATCTCACTGTGGTTCTTTCCGTGTTTTTCTTTTCCTCTTCTTCTTTACCTTTATTCTCATCTCTTTCTTTGATTTGAATTTTCTGTAAAGAAATGACTGATTTGGCTAAACAAATGTTTATTGGACACCGGCTACATGCAAAACACTATGCTGGTTCTACAACATTTAAAAAGTGAAAACTTAAGGGTGACATAAAATGGGATGAATGGTATGCGTGATGAATGTGTGATGTGTGCACGATGTACGCGTGTGGGCATGTGTAAGAGATATTTTGTACTGCTGGTCATTTAGATGGAACAAAAAAGGAAATTTCTTATCTTATGCTTGTCCCAGCTTTAAGATAAACTTTTAGCAGATGTAGATTCCAGAATAAAAGGCAAGCATGTGTCGGCTAGGACAGATTGTATAATGAAGTGTAGGAAAAGTCTTTGGGTCCCAAGTATTTATGGGGACGTTTGTTTAAAATGAGGAAGGAGCCAAGCTAGAGATACATACCTGCATGATACTTAAATGCCACTAGATTTCTCTGAGGGTGGCCTTCACAATTATTCTAGTTGTGCATATGATGTCATAATATTCAACGATGGTAGATTTCCCAAGTATAGAGAACCAATTCATGCAAATAAAGGCATTCAAATGTAGAGTCTTTGACTTATATGTTTATAACTCAGCTTTTGATTTGTGGCCCTCTAGATGTATTTTCTCACAATAGTAAATAGAGCCTAGATTTGCCAACTATACAGTAATAATTTCAGAAAAAATTACATTCAACCAGACTGCTTAAACAGAAGTGAAGTATTTGGGCTTTAAGGTACTTCATCATGGCAAGTGGAAAATTGTAGAATACGCAAAAGAGTTGCTGTAGGAAACTGCTCACCATCAGCAGAGGGAGGGTCTGTCTTCTGAGACCTCACGGTGACGCTAGAAGCCTGGGACAGGTCAGTGCCGGCTCTCCACACCCGCACGTCCACAGAGCCTATGCTCTCGTCCACAGGGTACTCGACGTCACCAAAGTAGAGGATGGGTTCTGTTAAGAAGGAAACAGAAACCATTTCTGTTACGTTTACTTTTCCACATCAAACTGTACGATGAAATTCCAAAGAACAGTTCGCTTCATCTTATCGACTTCCTTATACCATCATTTTTTTTTCCTTTTAGCAAGATAACATCTCTTTAATCTCTAGACTTACACAGTTTTCAGATCAAAATGCCTCTGTTGAAAAACAAAAATACATATGGTAAAGTGTCTAATGGAACTTTTTTTTATTGCTTATTTTTGTTGTTGTTGTTTTGCTGTGTTTTGTTTTGGCGGCGCTGCACGGCTTGTGGTATCTTAGTTCCCTGAACAGGGACTGAACCCCCGCCACGGCAGTGGAAGCACCGAGGGGACCACCAGGGAATTCCCTCTGATGGAGCATCCTTATCTTGAGGCACATGAGTTACTTTGTCCCCTGTATGTGGGGTTATAAATGGCTTCTAAATGTACTTCCTAAAAGTTTAGCTGGTAAAGTAGCTGCAAAATGAAACAAAACACATAAAGCTGAAATTTTATGAATTTGGCCGGACGGCTCACTTTCCTGTCTCCTACCGCGTCATCACTCTGGAGACTATTTGCATAACGACATCTTCTAGTCCATCAGTCCACTGTCTTTGGGCCTCTTATAACCCCTAGAGAGTTAGCCCCTATTGGCATAACTAGACTACATATGATTGGCATAACTAGAATATATATGATTATGAGTCCTGAAGACTTTAGGACATGATAGTAGGTTACCTATAGGGTTTTGGGGGTACTCTATACTGAGGTTCCACTAGAGAAATAATCTCATACCAAGGGGCTTACTTTTTTTTTTTTTTCCCCCGGTACGCAGGCCTCTCACTGTTGTGGCCTCTCCCGCTGCGGAGCACAGGCTCCGGACGCGCAGGCTCAGCGGCCATGGCTCACGGGCCCAGCCGCTCCGCGGCATGTGGGATCTTCCCGGACCGGGGCACGAACCCGTGTCCCCTGCATCGGCAGGCGGACTCTCAACCGCTGCACCACCAGGGAAGCCCTTACATTTGTTTTAAACGTGTATGAAAATCATGTGACTTAGGCCGTTAAAACAGGACACACACTTTGGAGACTTTGTATTTTTCTCCAGTATTGGCGATGAATTGATCTAACCATCATTCCCTGTCTGATTCTACCCGTGACCAGCAGTTTACCTCGTGAGACAGCTGCCAGAGTCTGAGGGATAGCAGTTAGCTGACTAATGAAGAAACCTGGGAGACAATCTGTGAGCTTTTAAAAAAAATCCCCAAAACTTATTTTGAAATATTTATAGGCTTGTGGGAAATTGCAGAAATAGTAAATGGAGTGTATACTTTCCCTATTGTGAGCTTATCAACAAAGATAAATTAGTTGAGTATATTCATGTGATAAGGCAGATAGTCCTTTGACTTGAGACATTTTAGTCATCTGTGTGTGGTTTTTACAGGACTCCAGAGATCTAAGTCTAAAAGTTCATGCAACTCACATCAATGTTCCCTAAAACACAAGGTCATTCAAGAGACGACTATCACATTTCAGAGCATTTAATTGAATTACCAAACACAAAAATGAAACAAAACCCTACAATTATGGCTCACAACCACAGGAAACCCATTCTGTGCACTGCTCGAGTAAGGATTCTTTATTTTCCTTCCCCCCAATAAATGATCTTTATTGAAACTGGAAAGTTGTGTTTTCTTTGTTTCTTCATATGCGAGCATGATAAAAAGCACAGAGCTCCCTGAACTCTTGAATAACACAAAAGCAACCTTGGAGACTTTGCTGCATGTTTTGGTTCACGAGGTGATAAATCTGCCCACAGCTTACTTTCACCTTCTCATCCCTTCAGCCTGGACAGTGCTAGGGCCTGTGAGTGGATGTACACAGATGAAGGGATTATCTTATTCACCCCAGCCAAGGTGGACCTCAAATACAAGCCAATAAATTCCTTACATTTCTCACGCTGAGCAAGGGGCAAAGGTGAAGACGAACCCTGAAAATGCTTATTGTGACCAGACGACCACACCAAGCACATCTGTGTGTCTTTTAAAAGGCTTTTGCGATTATTGCAGAGGCCTGATCATCTGCATCTAGTGAGTGATCTAAGCCTCTTCACATTCCTGGCAAACCGCATCATTGTACAGATTAGATTTGAGTTATGGAAGATATCTGTGAAATGCAGTGAGGGAGACCCCTCCCGTATTCCCGTCTCTCTGCTCCTCCCAGATACATACTAGAGGTGGAACAGACTAAAATCACGTGAGTGAATACGACCATGGATCACCAAATGGGCTACGCAGAGACCAAATTTTGTTCTGCAAGTGTGTGTTCAGACTCACTCCGTCAACTGCAGATCAAGTGTTTTGCTGTTATAGCATCATGTGCAGTTCATATAAGGAAAAAAAGAGTTCTATGTATTCAATAGTACTCTGAAATTTTTTTATCCAAGTTGTCATTAAGAGTGAAGAGTAATGATAATAGTTACCACGTGTAGAACATTTATTATGTGTCTGACATATGTGCTTTATGCGTGTGTGTGTGAGAGAGAGAGAGAGGAAGGGAGAGAGACAGAGGTGGGAGGTCACAGCACATGTGACAATGCAATAAATAATAAGATTTATGTGAATGATGCAAACAATGTATCGTATCGCCATTGTATAGTGTGTGGTTACCTCCAGCAGAAAGAAAGAGGAGGAATGGAAAAAGGGTTTTAATCCTAAACCTCTCAATTTCACCACTGCAGCTAATAGAACGCATTAGGAAAGATATTTTTCTCCTTAAGATTGATTTTTTTTGCCTATCTGTAGATTTAAGTTAGTTATGTACTTTCTCTCCCTCTCTGTGCTCTATTCATGATCACTGGAAAATTAGTCTACTAATCAATTGCAGTCACTGCAATTAAAGTATAAAGTGACTCTGATGAAATTAAAACACGTTTTAATAGTTTTTATTCATTCTCATTAACTGCCTAGTTTCTTACATCATGAATAAAAAGAAATGGTGGCATTAGCACCTCTGTATCTTTTCAGTGTGGTTGAATGAGAACTGCAAAGAATCATCATTATTGTTATTTCAACTTCTCAATACCTTGTCATAAGTCTCTAAAACTTAAATATTATTTATAATTATTACCATTTGTACAGAATCTTATGGAATGTGAACGACTTAAAAATCCTTCAAGCAGTGAGTTGAGTTATAGATAATTGCTCAAGATAACTGGCAAGAATTTCCTTGACCATTTTAATGTGGAAGTAATAAACTAGTGAAAGGAAGAGAGAGATAAATGGATGAAACTGTCAACAGTTAAAGGATACCTATGCGAAATTCAGAAGAATTGCTTGTTCTTGCAAATTATCATTATTTATGAATAAGATTTTAACTCACCTCTCTTTGGTTTTTATCTAGAAGCTTGGTTTCTCTTAAAAGTTAAGTAAACTGTAGACCTTTGTCTATTAGTTTTGTAAATATCCATATTACAACTTCAAGTAGATCAGAAAGAAAAAAAACTATTTAATTGTGTAATCAGATCTTAAATACACACCGTGCCTTGTAAGTTCACAATCTTAATAGAGAAAACAGTCAGTGGCTGGTATTACTACCTGGAATGAGAAAATATCAAATAAAGTCATGTAGCCCACACCCACAAAACACCATAAAACAGTCATTCGTCACCACTCCACCAACCACAGGTGACACGGCAGAATGCACGTTTATTCCCCCAGCGGAGAAAAGATAAGTTATATACAAACAGTGTGAGGGAAGCACAAGGGAGGTTTTTAAATTGGCCACGTGACATAGTGTGAAATTCTCAAGGGAAGCCAAACTCTACTCTCTGTATCCTTTGTGGTGTTAACACTTTTAAAGAAGGGCACAGATCAAGGCATTGCCTACAGAAGGGTCTGTTTTAGTTCATTAAACATTAATATGCTTTTCAAGGTTGGGAATACTTTCAATACAAACAACACAGATAGGATCATGTCTATTTCTTGCAAACATAGTTGACGAGGAGGCTTGGCGTACAACACACACACCTGCAATGAAGACAAAGGGAAAATCATTTAAGTTTTTCCCCACAGGGAAAAAGTGAACTTTTTTCCTTTGCTCAGTCTGTGGTGTCTAGATTGATGTTTACAATTACTTTGTGTCTCATGAGATGAAAGGAAGAGGTGCCAGTAGTAATTGCTATCTGGAGCCAAATCTTATTTACTCACGTGTACCTGGAACATTGGTCAAGTAGGCTTTGCAGCTCTAAGATGTTTGCTTAGAATTGAAAAAAAAAAAACAAAAAAACTTCTACGCCATCTTTTGGTTCAGGGCTGAAAATAATACAAAGGAACCTCCCTAAATGATTTCCAATTCAGATCTCTCTTCTGAGTTTTGGACCTTGATAACTGGCTGTCTACACAACGCCATGCTGTCGGCACCTCAAGGTAAACTCAAACAGAGGCAGTAGAGTCACCCCCACTGCCCACCCCCTGGTTTCTCTCTATGTCACTGCCACTACCTTAGATGCAGCCAGCGTCACCTGACATTGAACTCTCCCAACAGCAACTTAGCTAGGCTCTTAACCAGAGGCCATCCCCCAAAGCAAATCTCATCATGGCAATCCCTTTGCTGAAAGCCTTTCAATGTTTCAACTCTCTTAGGGCTGCTAACAGACTTTTTAACATTGGTTAAAAACACTGGTTTGTAAAACACTAAACATTTGGTCTCAGTTTGCCTTTTAAATCTCATTTTGGCCTCTTTTCTACCCCAAAATCCAGTGTCTTGAATGTCTTAAATGTGGCACTCCCAGTCTTTGCTATACCACTGCCATTGCTTTGAACACTCTTCCCTCCTCACAGGATAACTCCGGTTTCAGATTTTTTTTTATTTTTATTTTTTAGACGCACCATGCGGCTTGTGGGATCTTAGTTCTCTGACCAGGGATGGAACCCAGACTCCCTGCAATGGAAGCACGGAGTTCTAAACCACTGGACACCAGGGAATTCGGGTTT